AGAGGGAGAGAGAGAGAGAAACATCCATGATGAGAATCATCGATCAGCTGCCTCCTGCATGCCCCCTACTGGGGATTGAGCCTGCAACCCAGATATGTGCCCTTGACTGGAATCGAACCCAGGACCCTTCAGTCCACAGGCTGACGCTCTATCCACTGAGCCAAACTGGCTAGGGCAGCTCTGTTTTGGTTGTTTTTTAAATTCTATATTGATGCATAAATTACTGGTTTATAAAATATTTCCCTTGTTTGGCTGTATCACCTTCCTACCCTGAAGGTGAACGTTACCTCCAACAGGTGCAGAAAACACACTTGAAAATGGGGGGAAAAAAAAGTAATGTTATCTTCTAACCCAGTGGTTCTCAACCTTCCTAAGGCCGCGACCCTTTAATACAGTTCCTCATGTTGTGGTGACCCCCAATTTCATTGTTACAAATTGAACATAATGAAAGCATAGTGATGAATCACAAAAACAATATGTAATTATATATGTGTTTTGCGATGGTCCTAGGCGACCCCTGTGAAAGGGTCGTTTGACCCCCAAAGGGGTCGAGACCCGCAGGTTGAGAACCGCTGTTCTAACCCCTTCCATCCAGGCCCAAGTCAAATCTGCGGTACTTGATCAATAACGTTAACTTATATAAGCGACGAGGGTGCTGCTTAAGAGCAAGAGTTAAAATATTTCCTTTGAAAGCATTCTAATCCTATGGTCCTTAAGGAGATATAGATGAAGTTTCTAGAAATACTTCTGCAAACTCACCAGGACAGCAGGAAGCCAGACTTCTCCATGACTTGCACTTTTTTTTTTTAAAATATATTTTATTGATTTTTTTTTTTTACAGAGAGGAAGATCAATAACGTTAACTTATATAAGCGACGAGGGTGCTGCTTAAGAGCAAGAGTTAAAATATTTCAGTTGAGAGCATTCTAATCCTATGGTCCTTAAGGAGATAGATGAAGTTTCTAGAAATACTTCTGCCAACTCACCAGGACAGCAGGAAGCCAGACTGCTCCATGACTTGCACTTTTTATAAGGGCAGAGGAGCAGGAAAGTCTCCCAAAGTTAAGTCCTGAGCCACGCTGACTTCACGGTGTTATGCTGAGGTGGGTTTCTGGGATTGTACATTTCCGAATTTCAGATCTAGTCATGCTATTTAATTTGAAACAGAAAATGGAAACCTGTTCAGAATTGAACATATGTGTGGGTTTTTTTTTTTATTGTTATTATTGTTCTTGCTTTGGTTTGTTGTCATACCCTGCATTCTTCAGTTTCCAGGCTTGGAGGACAAAATTTTTGGAGAAGAATCCAACGAGTTTACTAATGCTCTGGGTAAGTACACAAATCCTAATGTGGTGTTGTAACTTCAGTGATCATATCCTATTCTAATTTCCAACTTACATCTTAAGTGGATGTTTGGGAGCCTTTCATGTAAACGACAATATATTCGAATGTTAAGCTTCACTCAGAACTTCAGGCCATTTAACTTAGGGAAATGTGGTATCTTAGACGTAAATCTGTGGCATTTAAATAATGGATGACTTAACCTTTTTTTAAAAAAATATATCTTGATTTCAGAGAGGAAGGGCAAGGGAGATAGAAACATCAATGATGAGAGAGAATCAGTGATTGGCTGCCTCCTGCACGCCCCCTACTAGGGATCGAGCCCGAAACCTGGGCATGTGCCCTCGACCTGGGATCCTTCAGTCCGCAGGCCGACGCTCTATCCACTGAGCCACACCGGCCAGAGCTTGACTTAACCTTTTGGAAAGTTGAGTGGTCCTTTGGGAATCTAATGGAAGTGACAGATGCCCCAGAAAGATGTGCTTCCTCACAACTGGGCAGACCATCTCAGGTCCAAGGTTCAAACTCCAAACCCATCCGTGGACCTCGTGTGATTTTGGCCGTGGGCCAGGTCCGGGACCACGGATACGGGTCTGTCTCCCTCACCGCATCCGGTGCGCAGCCTTGCTCCCCCACCCCTCTGTGGTCCTTCCCCCCGACTCTCTTGAGATGCCGCGACTCTGTGTGTGTCTTCCCACCAGGAGAAATGATCGTCTTGAGACTGTGCCCGACAGAGGGGGAGACGGCAGAGCTCCTGAGCAAAGTCCTGAACGGGAACCAGCTGGCGGCCCGGGCACTGGCCAAGGTCGTTCACGAGGACGTTGCCTTCGCCGACCCGGCCCTGGATTCGGTCCAGGTCACCATTCCGCACGACACTTTGGGAATCTGGGTGGATCCCATAGGTCAGTGGAGGGTTTGCTTTTATCCATTTGTCCTTATTGGTCATTGGCGTTTTTTTTTTGGTTTGTGTGTGTGTGTGTGTGTGTTTTTTGTGGGGGCAGGGGGCTTAGAAAAATACAAATTGAGTATAGTTTAACTCTCCTGGAAGTTTAAGCACTTTTACAGTTTGAAAGGGATCAAGAAGAGTCGGGTCTGTGTTATGACATGTTGTTAGAAACAGGTGTGCATCCGTCACCTGTAACAGACATGTATGCGTGTTTGTGGATCTGTGTGGGGGCATGCGCACACACGCGGGCACACGTGCAGAGCTGAGTTCACTCGTCTCTGAAGGATGTCAGGGTCCCGACTGTAAATATGAGGGAAGAATGAGTGAGAGCAGCTACACGTCACCGGGCACACAAGCCAGTCACGGGGCACACGGCTCCAGCGGGCACGTGCCATGTGGCGCCACATGCCAGGTCCTCGGCGTCTCAGAGGGAAACACAAACCCATTTTCGGTGAGATCTCTCCCTGTCCCACCACTTCCTGCTAATTCAACGAAACGAGCGGTGAACCCCCGGTACAGGGCAAGCAAAGCCCTGCTAGGGAGGAGTCCTAAGCGGGCAGCGTGGAGGGCCTGCGGAAGCTTCACCCGTTAGTATTTCTTTGGGTCACAACTGTGATAGAACCAAAATCTGCAGCTCATTGTTGTTGTTTTGTGTGTGTGTGTGTGTGTGTGTGTGTGTGTGAGTGTGTGTCTTTTTTCCCCCCCCAATATATTTGTATTGATTTCAGAGAGGAAGGGATTTTTGTGTGTGTGTATGTGTGTGTCTTTTTTTTTTTCCAATATATTTGTATTGATTTCAGAGAGGAAGGGAGTGAGAGAAAGAGAGAGAAACATCAATGATGAGAGAGAATCATGGATCGGCTGCCTCCGGCACGCCCCCTACTGAGGATCGAGCCCACAGCCCGGGCATGTGCCCTGACCGGGAATTGAGCCCTGACCTCCTGGTTCATAGGTTGATGCTTAAACACTGAGCCATGCCAACTGGTCTCTTTTGAGGGTTAGAATTGGGGGAAGGGCACAAACATTCAGACTGTCGCAGTTATTAAATGAGAAGAAAGAAATGCTGTAGGACAGAGTTCACCGATGCATTCATCCTCATGTTCTCCATAATCGCGACCTGAACCCAAACGAGCACGCTTGCCTTTCAGATTCCACGCATCAGTACATCCAAGGCTCTGCCGACGTGGAGCCCAGCCACGGAGTCTTCCCCCGGGGGCTCCCGTGCGTCACCATCCTCATCGGCGCCTATGACCTGCAGACGGGGCTGCCCCTGATGGGGGTCATCAACCAGCCTTTCGTGTCGCAGGACCCCGACACCCTCAGGTAGGAGGGGCACTTGGGGTGCATCACGGTTTGCAGAATTTGCAACCTTAGCTTTGCTTTTTGTCAAGATGGTCACTCCGTGTGGCATTCCCAGGACACGAGATACTGGGCCGTTCCTGCTAGAAGTCTGCATGTTTGAGTTCACGTTCTTTTATTTGGCCTAATTTTATTGGCCCAGTTTGACTGGGGGCTGATAGAAGCATTGAACAGAAACGGCATGTTGGCGGAGTTCTTCTGCATTTGGAAGAAAGCAGTCCTGTTCCCTATTCCTCGAATCCTTTCAAAACCAGATTGATAAGAGGAGCCACCCCTGCTTCTCACACGTTCGGAATGAGATAGGCGCTGTGGTTATGTAGCCGGTTGAACTGGTACACAATTTTAGAAGAAATTCAAAACCAAAATGGGAAAATTATCCAAGGGAAAGATGAGTAGTTACGGCCAGGATTAGAACCTGCCTCTGGGGTGCTGTCCCTATAAATGTGAGGGCCGCCTCGCTTTCCACCCTCCCCCGACTCCTGCACGGAGTTGCGGGGGGTGGGGGGGTGGCGCCTCCAATTGGCCTGCGCTTTGGGGTCGACTCTAGGGCACGGCAGGGTCCAGGGGAAGCAAACCGCTTTTCTCCTGGGAGTTCAGTTTTGATTTGTGTTTTCTTTTAAAATCTATTTTTATTGATTTCAGAGAGAGGAAGGGAGAGGGAGAGAGAGAGAGAAACATCAATGATGAGAATCACCGATCAGCTGCCTCCTGCACGCCCCACACTGGGGATGGAGCCTGCAACCCGGGCCTGTGCCCTGACGGGAATCGAACCCTGACCTCCTGGTTCACAGGTCCACGCTCAGCCACTGAGCCACACTAGCCGGGCGGTTCAGTGTCTGCACTGAAGTAGGTCAGACTGTTTGTTAGTGCAGGACTACACATTCTTTCTTGAGCTTTGAGTTGCTTGGGCAACTAAGAATTGTTAGCGCTGTAATGGCCATGAACTACACCTCTGGGATTTTGTCATTTCCCCTCTACCCCGGCCTTCCTCCACGCGAAATGTGTTTGTTCTCTGTACAAGGTCACGGCGGAATGAAAAAGCGCTGGGCCTGGTGCAGGCGTAACCCTGGCCTAGACGTGTTTCCCAAGCAGTTAGTGGCACGGACAGTGCAGACGGCGTAGGGCACCCAGCACAGACAGGGCTCACACATCGAGGAAGGACAGGTGCTGTGATTGTTTCTGTTGCCAGAAATAACGCGTCCATCTTTCTTGGCGTTAAAGTCGAGGTGAGCTTTCGAATAAGCCAGAGAAGAGGGTAAAACAATGAGAAGGAGTTTCCAAGGGAAGGATCATAAACGAGATGCAGATGGAAAGACAGACGTCTTTCCCTCTTAAACTTGAGATGCCCACGCGGCAGTAAAGCTCTGCCGTGTTCCTAGAGACCCCGAGCCCCACAGATATGTTAGCATCGCCCGGGTCGCTGTGCTGAGGCCCGGAACAGAGCCGCCCCATCGGCAGCCGCGCAGGCAGCTGGGCGGAGAGGTGACTTTCAGAAATGAATGAGCCGCCTGGTGTCTGTTTCTGGGCTGAAGGCACGGAGACTCGTTACATTAAATACACTTTTCTCACATCGTGGGGTTGAAGGAAACACGAATACTAAAAAGCAAATGTGAGCCCGGCCTGCGTGGCTCAGTGGTTGAGCGTGGCTCAGTGGTTGAGCGTGGCCCTGTGAACCAGGAGGTCAGGGTTCAGTCCTGGGCGGGGCGCATGCCGGGTTGTGGGCTCATCCTCAGTGGGGAGCCGGCAGGAGGCAGCCGGCCCAAGATGTTCTCTCTCATCATGGCCGTTTCTCTCTCCCTCCCTCTCCCTCCCTCTCCCTCCCTCTCTGAGATCAATACAAACACATTTACAAATTCAAAAAGCGAATGGGATCTGCGCCTGCACTCACAAAAACCTCTCTCCCGCAGGTGGGAAGGACGGTGCTACTGGGGCCTCTCCTACATGGGCACCAACATCCACTCCCTGCTGCCCCCGGTCTCCGAGCCGCAGAGCGCGCGGA